CGATGGACGAGAAGTTCCTCTTGTCCAAGAAATGGCTCCCCTACAGCCTCACCATCCTATCGCTCAACTTCATTTCAATGATAATTGGGTTTTATCTTCATTTTATCGGAAGAAATGAACCGAAGTCGATTATGGTTATTAAATTATTTTTTTACTCTGGAGTACTTTTATCAGTCTTTTGCAACTTCTTCATGATGGTTCGTCTGATACTGACAAGGAGATTTATTTTTCAGCTTATTGAAAACATCAGCAAGGCTATTGCTGGGTATGACAACTTCCCTAAAATAAGATTCGGTTTTATTTACTCCATTATATTTATTGTTATTTTATCAGTCAATTTGTTGTTATTTGTCCTGGATGCTGGCAATTGGGGTAATAAAGCCTTCGAAATCACGATGGTATTCCTATCGTATTCATCGACTATAAGTATTGTGAGTCAGTTCTCAGATCTTATGCAAATTCTGGCCATCCAGGTTGGGAATATAAATGTCTATAGCGAAAACGCCATTAATGTCTTTGAAAATTTAATCTCTCTGTCTGATTCTGTCCACAACACATACGATCCTTATCTATTGATTACTGTCGTATCAATTTCAATACGACTGATCCTCTACTCCTATGCTCTCCTGCTTCCGATCTTTCCAGGTCTGTTATGGAAAAATATCGTGCTGATTGTGTACATATCAGCCAGTGTCGCTTCTGTCGCTGCCATCGCCTATTCCAGCTGCAGTTTCTTGCACCAGGTATTATTGTTATTACATCAGAAAATAATAAACATGCTTTTAATTTTCGCCCGAAATTAGTAGACTATCGGTAGCGGGAAGGGATCCATTTATGTTCATTTAGAATCCATAAAAAACAATTATATGGGTTTTTAGTATTTCTCTATAATTATATAGCTATGATATACAGGATCATCTCTAAATAACGGAAAATACTTTAAAGGTAATAGTAGACGTTTTATCAAATTGTATCCACTACTCTAAAAAAAAGTACTTCCACTTTCTGATTAGGAAGTTTATTATTTGACAGGCCTATAGTTTGAAAATTGCTCATTCGATTTGACCAAAACATTGACGAAATTTGGAGAATAGTATATAAATTTCACTGTATTCCATTTAATGATTAAAATTAATATAAGTAATTGTTAACAATATAATGGCTGTGAAATGTGCAAGGCATTGATCATCTGGAGTTGGAGTTAGGTTAACACAGTATGTTTATGGGGTTATAAAATTTTATGTTTTATTCAGAAAGTTAATTTATAATATATTGCTTGGTCGACTACAAATGTTACTGGCATGATACTGTAAAAAAAAAGTCATATTTGTGATTGTGTTTATTTCTATTGAAGTTTAACCAATTCATTGATTTCTACGTTAAATGTCAAAGTTTGAATGAAAATAATTTCATTATTCTGGGTCTAGTGTTCCTTTAGAACAACTTACAAATACAGATTATAGATTAATATTTTGGTGTGTCCATAAAATACAGTTTAATATTTACAGGTTGATTAGGAATACAATAAAGTTATAAGTAATAAAATATACAGAGAAAGTAATTAAGTAAACGAAATATCGATGAATCACAAAGTATTCAGAGTATCTGGGCGTACTTCGAGGTTTTTGCAGCTTAGGTTTTTAAGTGTATTTCCTGATCAATATTAAAGAAGTTGTGTGAATTTCATAAATAGTTTTATATTCCAACTTAATTAGTAGTTTTTTTTTACTGAAAAAAGTATTGGTCTTGTTAACTCTGAACAAACAAAACTTTGAATTTTTCCTACGGTATTTTTGTTGCATCCATTTTACGAGCGAAAACCTATTTATTAAGTATATATATCGCTACTATTAGTGCAGAAGGCCTTATGTCAAGATTTCCAACTTTTATTTTGGTTGTACTAAAGGTGATATTTGCAACTGATATAATTAGACTGCTATGATGAAAAATTCGCAGAGGACAATTAAATATAAAATTATATTTATAAATCATAAAGAAACAATTAATTCTTATGCTTTCATGTAAAAACTCAATTTTTGCATACATTAATGTTCAGTATACAATGCAGTATTTATTGTATATATATTATTTTTCTGTATAATTTATTTTATTTACTGTACATAGAGTGTGAATGTAATCTGTGAACACTATTATAAATGTCCTTGAGACAGATTGTAATATTTTTCAATAAATAAGCTTATATATATATATATATATATATATATATATATATATATATATATATATATATTTGCATTCAGAGTGCTACCAGTGGGTAGTTTCTCAACAAGTTACTTAATGTTATTATTTTCTGTTATCAAAATTAATAAATGTATTTTATTTATTAATACAATTGTAAATATCGCAAATAAAAAAAATATTTGCTGATGACCAAATCCCGTGGAAATGAAACCTGTATATGTTGAGGGACTACTGTTTTTCCGAAAATGGCTTCTCCCAGAGATTTTATTCTCATACGAAAATTGGAGACCTTTTAGCACAGATATTTTTTAGCCAATAAAAACAGTGAAGTTGTGATGAACCTGTACTGACTTTACTTGGTAGAGATTTTTTCGTTTTTTTTTTTCTTCAGACCTTTATCCTGGCCTGTCATTGATTTGTCAATAAACAGATGAGCTGTTGTGAATCTGTAAATCCGCATGTTAAGAATTAAATTGTATCCATTAGCACCTCTTATCGGTCCGTAATTTCTTCATAATTCCAGAAAAGTATATCTCTCACCCAACTTATTCTTCCTCGCCTGCTGATGGACATGTCGATTGTGACCATGTTGGTTATATGTCTATTGTTGTGTCCATATAGTTTAATATTAAACCGAGAGCAAAGAGTACGTATGTAATAGTTGATGGTTGGTTTTCGTAAGTCGGTATATATTCACTTTCCTACCTATACTAGGTAAGGAAAGTATTGCAATCTGGATTTCCGATATGCGATAATCGTAAAAATTATATAAAAATCGTTCATTTAGGACAACTATTAACGAAGTTACAGCTATTAAATTTCCAATGTGAGATTATGGGTTCATATCCTTATTTCAGAAAGCAGTGAATGAAAATAAATAAATGAAATAAAAAAAAAATAAGCTATGTATAAAGATTCTATCTATGATAAATTTGAAAGTGGTGAGAGGTGAGAGTGATGTGCAGTAGCAAAACATTTTCTCGTATAATACCCACTCTTTTGTCTTCTCTACTCATTTAAAAGTACTTCTAAATTTTTGTGTACAAGTAGAAATTTCTTTTCCTCCTTCCTATATTGATTCACAAGTTAAGGCTGTTTACATACAGCGTTTCATTTGATTCGAGCTAATACACTCTAAAATTCGAGCCTAAAATAATTCATAATGTGAAATATTATGAATTAAAGACTTTCTTTACATTCAGAAGTAAATGAAAAAGGCTTCTCGCTATTATTGAATATACGATAACTTAGTATCAGATTCTTTTCTGTTCTACGTTTTCTATATCTTTCTTGATTTTTTTTACATTCTCCTTTGGAAAGTGAATGGTTTTAAAAATCACGTTCACGAACTAACAGCTTTACTACTGGACAAGAACATCGACGTAGCATTAATTATGGAAACTCGATTGACCAGAAAATACCTCAATACATAACATATCATGCTGACCATCCTGACGATGGCACATGCCGCTACTGCTGTTATTGCACACCAATTGTTCTCATCACCTACTCCCATTACACACACAAGATTTCCTACAATCTACCACCATCGTAATCAAAACCTTGTTCTTTCCCGTTATTATAGCATCAGCATATTGTCCTCGAAATGTTACCTCTTAATTCATATTTTAATAAATCTGGTAGTGACCAAGTATTAAAATACCGTGATAATTGTGTTTGGTCTGATCATTTAAATAGGTTGAAGAAATTTCGGACGACAGCGGAAGCAAGACAGCAGAGTAATGCGGTAATCCGACTTAAGTAGGCTGGTGTATATGTGTACATGCATTTTGTTATAATTGTTGTATTGCCATCGTAAGTAACATTCAATGTTTTGGAGTCGGTTGGCATGTCATTTGTACTCCTGCCAACACTGGTAGAACTGAGGAAAGTTCCAATCCCTGTCAAAAAGGAAGGACTGGAGAATGAAGTAATATAATTTTCAGTATAAAGAGAAGTCTCTTGCACCAAACGTCATCCAGGGCAACATCCAGAAACACGCCAGTTGCATATTGTTTCTGATGCCCAATTTCATGTTACCAATATCAAACGCATAAAACAGATCCTGTCAAACAATAATTTTCCTCTCCATGTCATCAACAAAGTTATTACAGACCACAATAATCGCTCTTCCTTAATCTCGACTTCCACTAATACTCCACAACCCATTTCGGCCTCTATATACAGATCTCTACCTTATATTTCTAAACTTTTTGACAACATAAAGAAAGTTTTACGATCTACTAGCCTAGCTTACTGCTTGCATTGAAATCTCACAACACACTTTCTAAATTATACGCATCCCTAAAAGATCCCGTTCCTCTCTCACACCGTTCTCATATCGTTTACCGTATACAGTGTTCTACAACTTTTCGGTTTCGAGCTAGAGCGTTCACATACAACCATACACACGGACACAAATACCATTATCGTGACTTGGTTATTTGGACTCAGGGGACCTCAAAACGTGTATTTCCGTTGAAAAGTAAGATTCAAAAATGTTTACGATCGCAATACTTATACTTACTATATATTACATATATAGGTAAGTGAAAGTAAAAATGGCACCAAACGTAAAAAATATAACAAGAAAATTATTCTATAACATTAAAGAACATTGACTAATTTAAAGTTTTGATGCAATAATATTTCCAATCATGATAACGCTGTTAGTATATTAAAGGATAATTCATTAAAGACAGAAATTCAATCCGCCGAAGAGTTGGCCATTAAGATATGATAATATTGCTTTTAGAAATGGAACACCACTTTAATGGATTATTGGATTGAACGCATTTATGCACAGAGTTAACTCAGAGAGTGGACTAGTCATGATAGACCCCAGGTTATCCGCCATTTTCACCATCCCCCGTATCCTGGGGACTTTCCCGATGGACGAGAAGTTCCTCTTGTCCAAGAAGTGGCTCCCCTACAGCCTCATCATCCTATCAATCAACGTCGTTTCAATGATAATTTGGTTTTATCATTATTTTGTTGGTAGAAATGAACCGAAGTCGATTATTGTTATTAAATTATTTTTTTACTCTGAAGTACTTTCATCAGTCTTCTGCAAATTCTTCATGGTGGTTCGTCTAATACTGACAAGGAGATTTATTTTTCAGCTTATTGAAAACGTCAGCAAGGCTATTGCTGGGTATGACAACTTCCCTAAAATAAGATTCGGTTTTATTTACTCCATTATATTTATTGTTATTTTATCGGTCAATTTGTTGTTATATATCCTGGATCCTGGTACTAAGGCCCTCGAAACCACGATGGTATTCCTATCGTATTCATTGACTATAAGTATTGTGAGTCAGTTCTCTGATCTTATACAAATTCTGGCCATCCAAGTTGGGAATATAAATGTTTATAGCGAAAACGCCATTAATATCTTTGAAAATTTAATCTCTCTGTCTGATTCTGTCCACAACACATACGATCCTTATGTATTGATTAGTGTCGTATCAATTTCAATACGACTGGTCCTCTATTTCTATGCTCTTTTGCTTCCGATGTTTCCAGGCCTGTTATGGAAAAATATCGTGCTGATTGTTTACATAGCAGCCAGCGTCGCTTCTGTCGCTGCCATCGCCCATTCCAGCTGTAGTTTCTTGCAACAGGTATTATTGTTATTGTTATTACATTAGAAAACGATGAACATACTTTTATATTTTTGCCCAAAATTAGTAGACTATTGTGCTGCATCGATAGTCTTCATTAGTGGGAAGGGATATATGTTTATATATAGTCCATATAAAACAATTATATGAATTTTTATCAATAATAGACGTTAGCATAAAATTTAGAAAAAAGTTTATTTTCCGCAGCAGATCAGCAACTTAATTTCTTTTGTTATAGAATGTCTCGTTTTTGTTGAATAGAGAGTGGTGATTAAAAATTGTTTTGCTTCCTCTCTACCGAAGGTGGGGAAGCATTATATTCGTGTGAGAGGTTAAAAAAAATTTTACGTTAAGAATCAAACATTTCTAATCGTTTTACGTTTCAGATATCACGGATTAAATTTGGTTCGGTGTCTGTCAGTAATCAAATCGATGTGATGGACATACCTCTTAGTACCGTTGATCCGATTTTCATGAAATTTTCAGGTATTGCGTATGTTGGTGCCTAAATAGTCGTGTTTTTTCCTTGATACGTTAGGGATTGGTAATTAGATAAACAAGTATGTATAAATTTTATCAAATTCTATCCGCTACTCCAAAAAAGAAATACTTCGGATCAGGAAGTTTATTATTTGACACGCCTATAATTTGAAAATTGCCCATTCGATTTGACTCAAATATTGGGAATATTTTGAGAATAGTATAGAAATTGCTCATCATCAATTTCACTGAATTCCATTTAATAATTAAAATTAATATCAATAATTGTTAACAATATAATGACTGTGAAATGTTGAAGGCGCCGATCAAATGTAGTTAGAGTTAGGTTATTACAATATTGCTTTGGGGTTATAAAATTTTAGATTTTAATTTTAAAAAACTAATTTATACTCTATTGTTTGGTCGATTCAAACTTTCCTGGCATGACACTGCCTTTATTTAGACTTGTTTACTGAACCGAAAATCTTTATGTTTTATGTCAATATGAATTTTAAAGGTATGTTCATGCATTTAGTTTTTGTATGGTCTATGTTAATTTGGAAAAAAGGAACTATAGTATTTTCATTCGCTTGTATAATGTATTTCGTTTCATTTTGACATGTTTGCCTTACGTCATCCTTCTGTCGAGTATTAATCCAAAATAAGGTACAATACCAGTCTGATAAATTCGGTTGTCGCTTATAAAAAACTGGTAGGCATGTGTCTAAAGTTCAATTTATAAGTGAATTTGCTAAGTCAGTATGGCTGGTCTAGAGCCATCATATACACCTGCCTACTTAAACTTTGGGCGCGAAATTTTACATCCTAATTCATATTTTGGTAAATCTGGTAGTGACCAAGTATTGAAATACCTTGATAATTGTGTTTGGTCTGATCATTTAAATAGGTTGAAGGAATTTTGGACTACAGCGGAAGCAAGACAGCAGAGTAATGCGGTAATCCGAATTAAGTAGGCTGGTGTATATGTGTACATGCATTTTGTTATAATTGTTGTATCGCCATCGTAAATAACATTCAATGTTTTGGAGTCGATTGGCATGTCATGTGTACTCCAGCTAACACTGGTAGAACTGAGGAAAGTTCCAAGCCCTGTCGGACAAAGAAAAATCCGTCAAAAAAGGAAGGACTGGAGAATGGCATAATATAATTTTCAGTATAAAGAGACGTCTCTTGCACCAAACGTCATCAAATGCCTGGGCAACATCCAGAAACACGCCAGTTGCATATTGTTTCTGCTCTACAGTGCTCCAGTAATGTAGTTAGTAAATATGTGTGATTACTGTGTTGTTGAATTAAATGTCTAAAACTTAATTGATGGTAATATTTTAACCTTAGAGTAAAAATCACAGACTGCTACAAGGATCATTTGTCCTTTTAGAAAACGGAAAAGGATATTGCTAAGAAAAAACAAAAACAAATACACAATTAGAACAATTGGTGTTAGAACTGCCATATTTATAAATATTAATCTAAAGAAATTAAAAACAAATATTATGTCGACAAGTAGAGCATTAATGGATTAGATGATTGAATGTACTGTGGAAGTCTTACTAGCCTTTATAGTTTCCGTAGCTTCAACATTAAAAGTAGATGGCAGAATGATAAGCAACATTTTCAGCGTTGCACGTATTTTTGGGTTTTTTCCTGTTGACAACAGATGTCACATTTCAAAAAAATGGCTCATCTATAGCTTGTTACTTCTGCTAATCAATTTTGCTTTTACAGAATATTCAATACGTTCTTCGTTGGGTATCCTAGAAATGGTGACTTTGAACAATTGGAAAGCATTTATGTTGGTAGATATTATTGATAAATTATACACTTACATGTTGGAATCAGTCACTTTCTTTTATTTGGTATTGAAAAGGAATTCCTTATTTGACCTGTTTTGCAGCATCGACCAGATCATCATTGATCCCGAAAAGTATTCTAATCATCATTTTCGTTTCATTCACGGCTGTTTGATAATAACATTTTTGACAGGAATATTGATGTTATTTTTGTACCCTTGGAAATTAAACCTGGAAGTGGTTGCCTCTGTTTATTTAATTGGTCTGAACTTCGCCTTGAAAGCCTGCATCGTTGGGCTAGTATGGGATATGATGCAAGTACTTACTACTCTTGTCCGTGAAAATTCTGAAGTACTTGGTGATTGTTCTATCAACTTCTTAGAACGTTTGTCTAGCTTTGGCGAAGTTTTTGGTGAAATATTTAATCCATTACTGATGTTGGTGGTTGTTTCTTGTTTATTCCGACTTATTGCAGACTTGTACATACTTCTTATACAAATGTTTCCCATATTTTTGATGAATGTTGTGTCAGTAATATCCACACTAATAGGGATTTTTTATGTATGGTCTATCGTATATTCTTACAGTAAATTCATAAATCAGGTAATTATTCTGCTTTTTTTTTTTTTAAATTTAGTTGTGTAGGATAATGACTCCGGTAATGCGACTAACCCAATTAGGTCAAAACATCTTAAATGACCGCTGCTTCAATTCATACCAAATCATCCAGAGACTGTAACCCACACCTATCAAATCTCAATGAAAATTTGTAAATATTAAGTAAATAAACATGTAAGTAAAAATACCAGATTATACCCAATCATAACAATCAGTTTAACAATTATGTGAATTTAAACATTTAAAATAAAATAAAAAAGTTGGGAAGGTTCATTTTGATCTAAAAACTGTTGTGTTTCCTTTGTTTGACAAATAGTTATAGACCAAGAGCTTTCTAAATTTATTCATATGTTATAAATTTAATACTAAATCTGCCTATACCATACATTTTTGAATTATAACTTTTCTTCATGTGCAAAAAAAATCTTAAACATAAATTTTCAAGGTTGTGATAAAAATATAGAAATTTAGCTACAGCTAAACTCTCTCTCCTAATACCCCAATACAACCATATACTAATGAAAACAGCAAAAAATTGTCTACCAATTGCAACAATAATGTTAGTGCCATCTTGAGTTTGAAGAGTTTTATTACACTTTACAGTAATTTTAATTTTATTACACTTTACACCAATACAGTAAATTTGAATTAATCAGCTACAAATACAAGTCAAAATTGCTTAAATTTCTCTCTAAATATCCTAATATAACTATATATCACTGAAAAGAGCATAGAATTTTCTATCAGATTATGTAAAAATATTTATGGAATTATGAGTCATAAGAGATGTACTATAATGTGAATCTCTTATATGTGCGAATTGATTTACGTATCACGCAAAAACCTATTTGATTTTTATACCTTATTTTAGGATATTTGGAGAAAGATTTAACCAATTTTGACTTTTATTTGTAGCTTAAAGCTAGGTTTAAAGTGTAATAAAACTCTTCAAATATGTTACTTAATATTTACAAATTTTCATTAAGATCTGAGGAGGCTAGGGGGTTACATTTACTTTCCTAGATATTGTTACAAGTTTCGGATTTTTCCATATAAACTACTTTTCAAAGGTTTTTTCTTGAGTTAAAGTATGTGGGTAACTAAATGCGGAGAAATTGAATGTTTATATGAATAAGAATATCTAGTTTCCTTACATTGAGTCCAGCAGAAGTTAGTTCTTATTAGATGAGCAGATATTCATTTACTGGTGAATACATTAGTTTTCTGAATCTTCAAAACAGCAATAGAATTTCAAGTTAGAAAATAACCAGTTCACATTCATCTAATCAATAATTTCAACAATGTGCAAATATATTTAAAGGTGTAGCAAAAAATAAAAAAAAATGCAAGGGTTTGACTACTATTACTTTATTTTATTTTAAGTCCTCTTGTGATTGGATATGGTCACAACCCATGTAGAGCACAGCAACTTTGTCATGAAAATGGGAGTTTAAGTTGCATCAAGTAGGGCTGGAGATTTTCATTTTTTATTTTTAATTTATTGGTTGTGACTGAGTTCCAAGTTTTCGATATTGACAGTTTCTCTGATCAATTTTTGAATGTTCCCAAAACTGGTAAATTTTCGCAATTTTATGTATGTATTTTATATATGTTTTTATTTACAGACATCTTTTTATCACATCCAGCTTAATATCCTGTTAAAACTTCGCAAATAGCTACATATCATCATTATCTACATTTATTGTATACACGGAAATCCTAGGAATTGGGACGTTTTCAATCTGCAGATCGGTAAACATTTTATATTTAACTAGGTACTAAAAACTTATGAATATCCATTTGTTTTTCTCATGAACCGTAAGATAACCTGATCACTAAATCCAAATAAAAGGTAGCCTACTAAAATATTGGACCGTTTGCCCTATATAAACTCGTTATTCTTTTTAGGGTTGGAGGACGTGGTAAGCGTACTAATATATTTGTAGGCCACCTTTTATTTTAACTTTATGATCAAGTGATGAGGATTCAAGTGGAAAGTAAATTTGTATTCATGAGTTTTACCTAATCAAGTAGACAAATTTTGCCAATCTTCAGATTGAAAACGCCCCAATTTCAAGAATATTCGTCAATAAAATATTTATAAGTGTTGATGAGATAAAGCTGTTTACAAAGTTTTAGGCAGATGTTAATAATTTTGTAAAAAGAGGTCTATACCACGGGATTCGTCCACCATCCATAAACGGAGCAAGTTATAAACAAAACAAAAAATTCCATACATTTTTAAACAACGTTAAATTTGATACCATGATTGGATAGGTAAACCTAATAGGTTTCAAACTACAGCTTTTAAAATTTAGTAATTTTTTCAAACTACAAAATTTCAATCCATTATAATATTAATGATGGTGATATCGATATAGAAGATAATTTGTTGGAAATCGTAGAGAATTTTGCTTAGCTAGGGTCAACGATAACTAGAAAAATCGAATAAATTGAAGAAAATATTACGGTTAGGCTAAAGGCGGGAAATGCTTGTTATTTTCCTGTGCCAAACTACTTAGCTCACGGCTCTTGTCCAGGAACTTAAAAACTAGAATTAATAAAACCATTTTCTTACCTACAGTTCTTTATGGATGGGGAATGTGCCGCTTACATTAAGGAATGAGCAACGTTTTAAGGTTTTTAAAAATAAAGTATTGCATAGAATATTCGGACCGAAGAAGGATGCTTTAACCGGAGAGTTTAAACGGCTAATCTCGCTTTTACAGCTTATGCAATAAGTTTCTTGTTGCGTTTCGTAGAGGTTATGTCTTCGAAACATTGGAAAGCATTATCGATAAATCATATTCTTGCATGATGGAATCAACCATAGTCATTTATTTTGTATTGAAAAGGAACTCCTTATTCAATCTACTTTACGGCGCCCTCCAGATCATGATTGGAGCCGGAACATATTCTAATTATAATTTTCGTTTAATTCACGGCTGTGTGATAATAATTTTTCTGACAGGAACAATGATGCTATCTTTGTACCCTTTTCAACTCGACGCGTTTGCCTCTCTTCATTTATCTGGCCTGAACTTCACATCGAAAGCCTACATCGTTGGCCTAGCATTCAGTCCGTCACTGATGATGAGGGTTGGATCTTGCCTCTTCCGATGTATTGTAGACTTGTATATACTTCTGACATATATATTTCCCATACTTTTAATTAGTGTTCTGTCAGTGGTATCCGTATTATTAGAAACCTTTTATCTATTATCTATCATGTACTCCTACAGTGAATTTATACATCAGATAATATTTTTTTCATTTAGTTTTTGTTTTTAAGAAAGTCGTGTCTTTGATAAATTATGACATGATGAGTTATGAATCCAAAAATAGTTAATTTAACTAATTAATAATTGATTTACAGTAAGGTACATAATATGTGATTAAAATGAAATATAGAGTTTGTCTTTCTTAATTTTTTCACATTAAATATCTATCTTTATTAAATATTTATATGATATTATATATATATACGTTTATATATATTTATTTATATATATATAATTTATTAAATATTTAATTATAGTCAAGATAGTGACAAACAGCAGATTTATTGTGTTAGATTGAATGATTGGCATTACAAACATGAGGAAAGATAGCACCCTTCAGCATCTCTGAAACAAATAAAAATTAATTTAAAATAGCTTTTATTGAAGTTTAAATATGATTCATAAGGTACATTTTCTGTTTAAAAAAAATATGCTTTATTCCTACTTTTTTTTACCTTCCAATTCAACCGATATCTTATGAAAACTTCATAGTTTTATAAGTTTTATCTCCACATTACAGGCGTAATAATCAAGCCATGTTTTTGAAAGTCCTATTCTACCCTTTATATCCATATTAATTAAATAGAGGATTGTTAAAGATTAAGTTGAGATTACGTGTGGTTGTACAAAACGATTATATGATTGGATATTTAGTGATTAGAAAGCACCTTTGTTTTCAATAAAAGTTACTACAATATCTTATTACTAAGCTTTAATTTTGTTCTATTCGATCTGAGATATATTTTTATAAATTATTTACATAAATGCATTTTTTTTTTTGTAAAATAATTTGTTTAGACTTTGAGTTCAAATTGTTTCAAAACATTGATGAGAAGTCACCAAATGATAATTAATAATTATAATTAGGAATAATTTGAGACAACAAAAGAAAAAATTGGTTCAGCTGTTTGTTAAAAAAATCGTTACATAATTTTAAATGAACAAAAAAAAAAACACATAAACCTTAGAATTAATTGACTGTATTCAGGTGTTGACAAACCAGTGTTTTTACACGCATATCTTTTATAGACATTAATCCTAATTGTGTAAATTGGTCAACTAAAGTTTC